AAATAAATAAATAAATAAATAAATAAAAGAGGCTGCCCGCCCTCCAGACGCGCAGATCGGGAAGCGACTCTTTCAAGGTGTCACTCAGCCCGTCTGAATTTCCAGAGACCAACCTCCCCCCCCCCTCTCCCCGGCACGTGAAAACTTTGTCGGGCGAGAGGAGCCGCCGAAGAAAACCTGTCCTAGAGCCGCGGCAGACAAAAGAAGAAGAAGAAGAAGGCGGAACTACGTGGCTGGGGCTCGAGAAGGCTGCGCTTTCCCCCCCGAGCGCCCAGTCCCACACCGCGGCGGCTCGCCGGCACTGCGCGTCGTGGGCGCCTGGAGCCGGGGCGCGGGACTTCGGGGCTGGCGGGCGCTCGCTCGCTCGCTTGCTCGCTCGCCCGGGAAAGGAGGGAGCGTCTGCCGGTCCGCGGCTCCGGCTACGTTGGACGTGCGTTGAAAGGAGCCGAGCTGCAGACTTCGGCTTTTGCTCCGGGTGATCCGGAGGACGCCTTCGAAAGCGGATCGGAATTCAACCGAGGTCAATGAGGGATGCAGCCGGCTGCTGCTACTACTGCTGCTGCCGAGGCACGGGCTAAAGCGGGAAGCTCAGCGGCCGTCGGTGCGAAGGATGCCCCGGCTGAAGCGGCTGCTGAGAGCCAGGCTGGGCTGCCGGCGATGCTCCGCCGCGCAGTGCCTCTTCTGGGGAGTGTGCTGGGCGGTAGGGGGCGGCCTCTTCGCCTTCTTCTTCCTGGCGCACGGGGGCGTCTTCTCGGGGCGATGCACCGACGAGCAGAGTCGCCGGATCCTGGCGAAGCTGGTAGGTCGCTGCAAGGGAGTGGAGGGGGGCAGGAAGTGGGATCTGCCCTCCGGAGCAGCCCCCAAATGGGGTCGGTGACCTATCAGGGTTGCCCTGGCAAAGGACGCCTCCGAGATCCCAACCGGCAGGCTTAAGCGTTGTCTCCAGCTGTTCAGGGCCACCGAGATGTGCCCTAAAGATCATCCCAGCGACTTGCTTTTGCAATGGGTCTTCCGCTTTCCTTTCCTCCAGAGTTAGGTGAGAAATTGCTCATCAGGTGGGAGAATCATTTTCGGGGGCCATAACCCTGAGAGGGCCGCCCTGCACCTGGCATCTTCCAGATGTGTTGTGTCACAATTTCCAAAATTCTAATCCAGAAAGATACATCTGGACCTGGACCCGTCTTAAAGCAACGAGGTAGAAGTGTGGCATTACCCTTCTGGATCATCCTCTCCCTGTGGATGTGTCTAAAGTGAAGAGTCACAGCCAGGAGTGCCTTTTGTAAATTTCTGTACAAGCAGCATCACCTTAATGTATAGAAATGGATTGTTAGTGTTTTGGCCTGGTCTGCTTTCCCTGCTGGGCTAGTCCAGATATAGTCCTTTTCAGTCCTCAGAATTTCCAGCCACCACTTCAGAAGAGTAACAAGCTGGAATAGGCTGGAGTATAATTGGGCAAATCTGGGCTGAAATTTCCATTCAGCCACGCAGTTCATTCACTGCACGGCCATCTTAAACTCTGAACCCAGAGCACTTTACTGGGTTGATGTGAAATTGCTACAGGAAAATGGCTTGACAGTCATATGTTGTCCTTCCATGGGAATAAGACATGACATAAATGATAATGTGTTAAATAAATGATACATGTGACGTGAATTGAGCGCTTCATAGTCTAAATCAGGGATGTCCAATCTTGACAACTTTAAGACTTGTAGACTTCAATTCCACAAGTGGTTGGCTGAGGAATTCTGGGAGTTGAAGTCCACGAGTCTTAAAGTTGCCAAGATTGGACACCCTGGTCTAAATGACTGCTCTAAGATAAAAATAGGATATCCTAGGAATAGCATAAGGTATGCAGCATGGCAAGAATGGGATGGGGCTCATGTGTGGGTTTACTCCATGGAAAACTGTCTAAGAGCTATTAACTCTAAGAGGGAGGTGTTATTCCTACGGTTAAGAAGAGTTGTGAGCAGAAATGTATATTCATCAGGTTTGCAAGAGAAATGAAAATGACAGAACTAGCAAAGATGGCAAAATTAACTTGTTTGTTTAGAGAAAGACTGAAGCCTTTTTGCATAAAAATGAACTTGTGATCTGTGGTTTTGATGATTAGACAGGGTAGATTATAAAAGAAAAGCAATATGAAATAACTTTAGAGAGAGGGAGGTTAAAATATATTTACACTTATATTTCTATCTTTTTTTTGCACTTTCTGCTTTCTCTTTGCTTTTGCTTTTTTTCCCTTATTTTATATTAGTTTGCCTTAATTTTTATCTTCTTATTCAAAAAATTTAATAAAAATTATGTTAAAAGCAACTGCGCTATTAGTGACTGGAAACCCCTTATGGACTTTTTGCTTAAGGGTTGCTTATGGAAACAAGGACATTATGATGTAACCTTAGAGAGAGAGGGTAAAATATAAACGTAAGCTGCTGCTAAGAAGATTGGAAGCCACTTCTTACTACTTTTTTTCCCTCTATTTCTTTTGCTTTATTTCTTTTTCACTTTTCCTTATTCTTCATCTCTTCAATTCAAATTTTGTATTGTTTTTGCTCTGTTGGAGAATGGACATTTCTGTTAGTCATGTTGAGAACTGTGTTAGAAGGGAGCCTATAGATTTGATAAGGAGATAAAATATTGATAATAAGTCAGTAAGATAAGTAGTCCTTGCTTAACAACTGGTCGTGTAGTGAACGCTCAGTTATGATGGTCCTCCAAAATGGCACTTATGACCCGATTACAAAGTTCTGATGGCTACACATCTTCATGGTCACATGATCACATTGTGGGTGCTTGGTAACTGGCTTGCATTTACGGCTGTTTGAAGCTTCCTGTGACCCACAATTTTCAGCGTATTTTGCTGGTTTCCAGCATTTACTTCTGGTTTCCAGAAAAAACCGTCCATTGGGTATAATGGATTTGTTTAACAACTGCTGTGCTTGCTTAATAATGGCAACATTCTTTAATGACCATGGCATTCACTTAATGACCGTCACAATCAAGGTTGTAAAATCGGGTGCACTCATGTGATAACCTGCTTAATGACTGCATAACAACTTATGACCATAATTACATAATGACTAACAATTTAATAATTTAAAAATCTTAACCTTATGCAATGGCTCTCTCACTACTTTCAGCACTGTCCCTGTGGGCAGTGAAAGAGCTGGACCCTTTTTTTACTGCTTCCCCCCCCCTTTTTTTTTTTTAAAGCAAGAGAGACATGTGTTGCCAGAAAGAAGGCATGCACTACTTAATAAAAAAAAAAGTAAAATGCTTTCCAATAAATGGTTCTCTACAATCTGCTTTCTCTGCTTTATGGTATGCAGGTCCTTCCCTTCCACTCCAGTCTGCCAAAATGTAACTGATTACTTTTTCACAATGCTAAATGGTGACCCAAATAAGATCAGGAATGAATTTTTTGAGCAGAGTTGGCTAAGAACTCCCGAACGCGCTTGACGTTCTGAATAGGAGGCTTGTGAATATATTGCCACGAAAGGAGACAAGTACTATGGTCCATGCTGATGAAGCTTTGCCTGGATTTTGAAAGGAGAAAGGGTGAGGAAGGGAAGGAGTCAGACTGCTGATTAAGGAAAACAGTATCTTGCCTGAAAAGCATTTGCCATTACAATGGCATTTTTTCTCTCCTAGGCAACTGTTAGTGTCAATTAAACAAGACAGAGTACTCAGCTGATGGATCTCTCTGATAAAACTTACTCAAAACAGACAAGAATTTACATTTCCTAATGGGTTGTAAAATCAACTTTGGACTTAGATAAAAGAGCGACTTTCAATGCATTTATTTTGCTTTTCCCAACTGTAATCTATTTCATTCGATGTATCTGATTTATTTATTTTTTTGCAAAAGAGTAATTTAGCAACTGTGGAGACAGATTTTAGGAGCTGGTTCCATTTCTTTGTTGTGATAAAAGTAGCAAGATTGTTCTGTGTTATCTCTAATATATCATGATGCAATATAGAGCAACATATTGATAAAGTCAAACAGTTATTCCATTATGAATGAAGACGAAAATATGTGTCCCAGGGTAATGTTGCAGGATCCAATCTGGATCGGTCACCGGAACCAGAGGTTTTGTATTCTGAGCTTTCAGACTTGTGCTGGAGCCCATCTTCAGGGAACTTGAATAACTAGCTAGTTATTCCATTATTTCCATTTCTTTCTACAATGAATTATTTTGTTCCTAAACAAGGTGTCTAGGGCAGTGATGGTGAACCTTTTAGAGACTGAGTGCCCAAAAATTGGTCCCGCCCCCGCTCCACCCCCTGCCCTGCCCCGCTCCACTCCCCATCCCCCATCCCACCTGCCCGCAGGGCCACTCACCGCCTCCAGGGCCCACCGCAGATCACCCAGGCAGCCCAGCAGCGCTATGGCGGTCACGCCCTATGCCTGCGCCCTGCACCATCAACTGTGCATGATGGGGTGTGAGGGCAGAGTCTTATCTACGCTCGCTGGCTGCCATGTCCTTGGCTGCGCTGCTCCGGGTGGCCACGCTCAGGGGCAACTCTCCTTCAGGGGGGCTGCTGGAGAGGAGGTCGTGGGGGGAGGTGAGGCTGGGGCAACGGCACGTGTGTCCACAGAAAGGGCTCCGAGTGCCGCCTCTGTCACCCGTGCCATAGGTTCGCCACCACTGGTCTAGGGTGTTTAAATGAATGCTAAATTGGATTTGCTTGATTGGTTATAACAATAATTTATTAAACAAGATAAAAGATGGCAAGCATGACAGCCCAAATGAAACAGAGGGAGGAGTTCAGTCTCCCTCGCCAGAGACCTGGGTGAAGAGTCAGGTCTTCACAGCTCTTTTAAACAACGGCAGAATTGGGGGCCATCCATACTTGAGGAGAACTTCATTCCAGAGGCAGGCATTGCTAAAGAGAAAGTGTGCTTTTGGGATCCTGAGAGATTACTACATTCTTTAATCAAAGGGACCTGGAGTGTGCCAAGGACCGAATTGGCTAGGCAGATGTTATGGGAGATGGGTGGTCCCTCAAGTAACCAGGCTATATACCATGTACCTTTGTCACTGTAAACATTTGTATAAGCAAATGTTATCTGCTATGTTTCACAATTGTTCCATTACACATGGAAAAATTATGTTAAGGGCATGTGTTGTTCATCTGAGGTTGTTTTTACCTAATTTTAAGAACTGCTTCGGTGTTAAGGTGTAAAGTCAAATAACAGATTAAGCTCTGTTTCTTGTTTTCTTTATCCAATGGAAAAGTAGCTTTAATAGATATTATTCTATTATGGTAACTACCAATTGATGACTATAAATGTCCCTTGTGTGATACATAATAAACTACAGCAAATACTATGCTGTGGCAGCAGCTTTGCCAATTTTGTGGAAATGGAACAATATTGATGATGCTACCTAGTTGGATAATGAAACTTTTGCAAGAAAACAATCTAGAGCACCAAGGACCCCCAGTTCAACCATGAATTATAAATATTCTCTTCTATTGGCAACAATACTAAATATTTTTCTTCTGACAGGCAGCTAGGAAACTTTGATACTTCTGAGATATGTGACATTTCCCATTTCCCACAGAGCTGAATTATAGCCCCCAAAGGATCTGAAGCCATTGGGCCTGATTTGAGAATTGCATTTTGCATTTATCCTTGAGCCTGCCTCTGTACTGATTTCAGAAGGAGAAAAGTTATTTACTGCTTATTCACAAGCCAGATAAGACAGTGCTATACTTGGGTTTAAGCCAGTGGTTTTATTGCCCTTGAAGAAACCAAATTGTCTTTTAACCAAACAGTGTAATTTCAGCAATTTCTGATTAATCCCTGAAAAGGTTTGCTGATTTTAATTGCTTGTAATTTGAAGTAGTTATTTAAGATTATTGCATTTGTTTGTTACTTATATTTAATATTTGGGAAAAACTATTATGTTGTTTTAGTAAATGTGTTTGAGTTAAAAGTCGTGGAATTCCTGTCCAGTTAATAGTATAATCTTTACACACCTTCCCCAAAGTTGAAAAAGTTGTTTTAGAACCTTCTATTGATTACTTTACTTTAAATACGCACTGGGGAAGCTACTAGCAGAGCTCCTACTAATATAATACTATTTAGAATAGAATAGAGCCGGAAGGGACCTTGGAGGTCTTCTAGTCCAGCCCCCACTCAAGCAGGAGAACCTATACCATCTCAGACAAGTGACTGTCCAGTCTCTTCTTAAAAACCTCCAGTGATGGAGCACCCACAATTTTTGAAGGCAAGCTGTTCCATTGTTTAATTGTCCTTACTGTTAGGAACTTTCTCCTTAATTCCATTTTGCTTTTTTCTTTGATTAGTTTCCAACCATTGTTTCTTGTCCTGCTCTCTGGTGCTTTGGAGAATAATTTGACCCCCTCTTCTTTGTGGCAGCCTTTCAAATACTGGAATACTGCTATCATGTCACCCCTATTTCTTCTTTTCTTTAGACTAGCCAAACCCAAGTCCTGCAGCCGTTCTTCATATGTTTTAGTCTCCAGGCCTTGGTTCATCTTAGTTGCTCTTCTCTGAACTTTTTCCAAAGTCTCAACATTTTTTTTGTAGTATGGTGACCAAAATTGGTTTCAGTATTCCAGGTGTGGTCTCATTAGGGTTTTATTTGCACGAATGTACAGTATATCTTCATGAAAAATCAAGGTTATTATATAGATACAATTTTAGAATGCTTGCATGCAAAAAAAAAACGTGATACAGAAGTAAATATGAAACATTTTAACTTTAGATATTTTAAAAAGTTTTCTTTTAAGTGTGTACTTAATGTGTACATAATGTGTGTACATAATGTGTACATTATGTTCATTTATTGCATTATGCTTTATTAAGCCATTTTTTTTAAAAAAATGTGTGCATTACATTATTCACATTCTTTGGGTCTGGTTACAGGATTTCTAGACCTTTTAACCTCTTTGACTCCAGAGAGTTGTGAGGTATGTGGATTTGTTCTTGGAATAATCTGGAGCCATGTCTTCCAATTTGAAAACATTGGAAAATACACTTAAATAGGTTTTCCTAGCTAAGATGGATGTATACAACTTTACACATGGCTAGGGTGAAAGAACTGAGGAAAGAATACAACAGACTGAACGTTCCATCTGGAAATGGCCTGGAGAAGTTTGAAAAATTATCTTGCATTTTGTGCAGTCAGCATTTCTGAAGGAGCCTGATACAATGGTAGGTGGGAAGTTGTTGACTGAAAGTAAGAAGGAAAGTAAGAGAAAAACAGGAAGGAAGTTGGTATAAGGTCTCTGTCTGACTTTTTCATTTTTGGCATCTTCTAATAATCCACATCGATGAGTGTCTCCTTCAGAGATGTGCCCAGAATAAACTTTTGCAGCTGCACTTCTCCAAGGACTGAATGGATGTGGTTATACAGGCTGCCTATGCCTATCTTAGAAAGGGAAGGATGGAAACAATTATGAGTGGAAGAAGGGACTGGCAAGGGAAATCCTCTTTGTTTCTTCTGTACATTTGAAATGACCACATAACTACAGACTTTCAATCTCCTTTTAAGCTTTGCAATCATGAATTATGGAATATATATAAACCCCACAAATATATTCAGCTTCCATTCCTTTTGTTAGGGGATATGAAGTTAGTTTAATAACACAATAAAGACAGAGCCTGGTGCTGTGATCTAATCTTTTTTTTAAATCATTGGTTTCTGCATTTACTAGGCTTTGTAACATAAATAGATCGAATGCTGTGTTTTGTAAGGAACAAACACAAATTGTAGTTCACATTCACTTTTTATCATGTGAAATTTGTATTGAATGTAATGAAATAATTAGAGCTGTGTTCCCTGACTTTTATGACTTCAACTTCATCCCACAGTGTTTCATTGCACAATATTAGGTAACCAGGATCCATTGTTCTGGATAGAAGAATGTTGGATTGCAACATATGTCTTTGGAGTTAATGGAGGTTCAACAAGAAGGCCACATCTTGCCCATATTTTCATTCATGTCTTACTAATATTTATATATTAATCACTGGTTTTCAACATCATGTACACAAAACCCATACATTTTGACAATTTTAAATATGATGAAAATATGTTTCTGAAGAAGTAGTTTTTAGCTCGTTCTCTCTATGGGATTTGAACTCTTAACTATATGGTGATTAGCGAAGAGACCAGCTCTAAACTACAGAGGTCTACAGCTGAGCCATCACCATGAGACAGAGAGAATACAACAATTATGATTTACCACGAGAAACAATTTATTATTTACTGTGGGCAAAGCTTGTTATCACAGCACGAGCCTTAAATGAGGCAACCATAGCTTTCTATGCTTATTTCTTTTATAGTTATTTCATAGTTTTCTTGCTTATTTCAGCATCACCTTGTTTGCCTTTTTGCTTCCTACAGGATGAAAACTATATTTTCAGGATAAGAATAAATGATTTTCAAAGTGCCTGGAAAATTTTAGTTTCCTACCATTAGCCTTGTTGTTTGTTTGTTTCCATTTTTCTGCAGTGTTTTGACTACAGGACGGGCATGTTGACTGGGGATCTTTGTGAAGACTTATGTGTGACCCAGACTTTGACCTATAAACGCTGCCTTTATTATGACCAGGGAAAGAAGGTCATTCAAGCTGACTGGAGAGGCCGCCCTGTGATCCTAAAATCAAAAAATGAAATATTCTCTAGCTACCGTGGCCTTGCCTTTTTGGAAGAAATGGAATCACAGGGAATTTCAGAAACAGACCTGCTTCTGATGATTGCTTTGGAAGTCAAGAACACATTGGGCTTGGAACTTCCTAACAAAACTGTGGGACCTTTGTGGAAGAAAAGAGGCCCACATTGGAAAGCACAGCTGGCTAGTTTGTGGTCTTTACTCCAACAGGAAGAGTACATTTATTTTAGTGTTTTGCAGGACATCAGTAAACATGTTCTAAGGGTTATCGGTTCTTGTGGCCACTTTTATGCTGTGGAATATCTGACAGCTGGACATGCGTGGCACAGTACCCTTTTTTCTGTGGAAGATGCTCTTGGTGCTTCCCTTTCTGGGATTAAAAACAAAGCCAAAGCCATAATCCAAATTGCAATCAGCTTCTTGGATATGGTAAATCATTTTGACGATGACTTTTCTTATCCTCTTCATCTCTGTGATATTAAACCAGAAAATTTTGCCATCCGAAGTGACCTGACGGTAAGTTAGACCCAGCTTTTCATAACTAAATATAGAACTTATTATCATAATGAAAGATGTGAGCACCAGTCTGTTGACTGGGGATTGTTATGAAGACTTACGCATGACAGACTTTGACCTATAAACACTGCCTTTATTGTGATCAGGGTAATAAGGTCATAACAAGGAAAAGTCTTGCTCTTTGTTGAGAGCAAGGCAACAGTTTTCTAGATATTACCAGCATATATTGGAGCAGACAATGAAATTTTGCTATTTAAAACTCCATCCTTTACCTTTGTGCTGTTCTAATATTCTGCATTCGTAGGAGTGTCTTTTCCTATGCTGTTCTACAGTTTTTTCTTGAATATATAGTATAAGCCATTTACAAAAATACTAGTGACAGTTTGAATAAGTAGAAGCTATGCAAAAATGTCGATCGGCTTCTGTTTCAGATTGCAACAGACCAGACTTGCCTTCTACCTGAATATCTGGCCACACTTATTCTTCACTTGGACTTTCTTCCCCCTCCCACACACACACCAAGCATGCTCACTTTCAGCATTAGATAGTCATTAAACTTTCTGACTTTGGGTTCCCATCGTACCTATATATGTTTCCACATATATTTAAAAATTCATAAGCCTGTTGAACAAAATCTGTCAACTTGTTCAAAAGTGGTAGGGATTTGGTTTTGTAAGTAATATTGCTTGGAGCTCCAACATCAGAAGCAGGTAATTATGAAGGTGAAAAAGATTGAAGGTTCTCACTTGTAGATTTCATCTCCTTGGAGACAGAATTCATAGTCTCTAACATTTTCCAAAGATATTATAAATCTTAAATGTATCGCCTGGGTGGCAGTTGGGGGATGTGTGTTATAGTCGCATGCCTACAGATGACAGTGGCTGAAGCCTGAATAGTAGTGATGGATAGTGTTAATTCCACAAATGGATGAAGTCAAAATCAAGAGTGGATGAAGGCAACTGGCTCTTCTTTCTCCTCATTTATCTGTTCTGTAACAACACACGTTTCTACGTGCACTGATCCATTTGTACAAACATTAGCAACCTATCCATTAATGGGGAAAAGCAGCAATGTAGTTTAAATTGCTTCTTTTCTTGGGCTGTTTCCCATTCTATCTATCAGGCAAATACACCTACAATCACGTACCCATTAGTTTATCTCCATTTTGACACTTTCCATCTGTTAATACCTTGTCCACAATACAATTTCCTTTGCCTCATTCATATACTTTCTTCCATTCATACACTCACACAGGATTTATACATTCATACATTAATGTTTCGTTCACATCTCCTCTTTCAGTCAGCATACCAGGAAAGGAAAATGAAATAGCAGGAAGCAGGAAAATTCAGTGGAGTTTGGTGTTTGACGAGGGCCACCTTGGAGGCAAAACCAGTAGACCAACACTGATGATGTTACCTAGTTTGGGTAATGAAATGTCTGCAAGAAAACAACCAAGCTCAGAGACCCCCTTATTTCAATCCTGAGCTATATTCTCCTTTATTAGTTTACTTCTGGTTTCTGGCAAAAAAAATGCTAATTGGGGAAAATTAATTCTCTTCATGACCATTGGAAAAAATGTTGAAAAATCGGCTCAAGTCACATGATACCTTGATACTTCTCTGAAGCAATTTACTACTGTAATTCTGAGCTGAATTACAATGGTTAGTCAAGGATTACCTGTGTAGAATTCCACACTGGAAAGTCCGATGCTAACATGACTTAAAGGCTTAGGAGTAATTCAATTTTCTATTTCTTAGACCATAAGACAGTCTGAATTATTAAGTGGTGAACAGATTTTCTTTTCCTAGATTAATTATACTTATATGTTTACTCAAATTCAGCACAATCATTGCAGAATGCCCTTTTATGCATGCAGGACTCTTTCCAAGTGACTGGAAGACATTAGCTCCTGCCACTGTCAGTACGGCTAGCCATTGCTCAACATCATAGATACATAGTGCTGACTCAGCTGCAATAATGTTGGTATTCATCTCACTTGTTAATCATGCATATCTATCCAAACCACACACGTGCAGCTGCAATGCATCATGGGATAGTGTCTTTCTTCAAGAGAAGAATGAAGTCCCTCAAAACTTTGAAATGTTTACAATTGCAGTTCATTGCAAAAATTAGAAAAGAGGTATTAAGGTATCAAGCTCAAAATGACTGCAGGAGGTGGGAGGGAAAAAAAACCCCAGAAAATTCAGTAAAACGTCAACTTAACCAAATTTCCACTTTGCAGACGTTAGATGTAAAGGACAAACTTTCTGCTTCATCTCTTGGAAATAATTGACAAGCCTTTGCATCCAAAGAAGTCTAGATCAGTGGTTCTCAACCTTTTTAATGCCGCAACCCCAACCGGTCGTAAGTCGAGGAGTAAACCGGTCGTAAGTCGAGGAGTAAACCGGTCGTAAGTCGAGGACTACCCAACTGGTCGTAAGTCGAGGACTTTCTCTGCCTGGGAGCGCCGCGCATGCGTGGTTCCGCCCCCTGCGCCGGCCGAGGCGTAGCTGGCAAGCGGCAGAGACGGAGCAGGCCGACCACCAGCTGGCCCAGCTCAAGGGAGGTAAGGCACCCGCCGGAAAAGGGGAAAAAAATGGCGGACAGCCTTGCTTGGCGACCCCCGTGAAATGGTCGATCGACCCCAAATGGGGTCGCGACCCATAGGTTGAGAACCGCTGGTCTAGATGGAACATTTAATTTGTATTATATGTAAGATCATTTGTGCTAACTGACATTATTTGTTTATTGAGATCTTCATGTAAATTGATGCAAATGAGATAATCTGTGTCAGTTGCATATTGACATAATGCAAATAATGTAGGCCACGTTTGTGTAGACCACAAATGACATACTTTTGGACATAGTGAACATTTAGAAGTGACAGACACCTCTCACTCAAATTACTCCATTAAATAGAAGAGTTCTGTATTATTATTCCTATTAGTATTAAAAGTATTTCTAATTCCATTTAGTAACCGGGGTTCTCTGAGCAAGTTACAGTTCTAGTTAAAACATTAAATGATTCTGTGCATATAATCCAAGCAAAAGAATACTGTGGTGTAATCGCAAAATACAATTAATAGTGCAGGAGACCAAAAATGCCATTCTGTTAAAATTAAACCAAATGAAAAGTTATAGAAATGTCAGAGAGAACAGGAATGTCTTTGACTCACCGGGAGGTGGGGAACATATCAACTTAATTTATTGTTGATATTAATTTCTTGGTGTCAAAAAGATACTGAGGCAGTGGATGAAATAACTGAGATAAAAAAGCAATCTCTATGCTGGTGTTTGGAAAAGGGAAGAGAAATAAGTCATTTATAAAAAAATAATAAGAAGAAAATGCACAGGGTTTGACTGGGGAAGAGGAATCTGACAAACATATGACAATCTGCCTGGCATTTTGAATAGTCAGCCTAGAATGTGTTTCAAATCCCTGTTAATGTTTTTGTTGAGGGCTTCCTGTAATTTTGTTCCAAACGCTGCCCTGAGTGGACTGCCAGACCAATCTGCCAGTTTTGCTAATACAAATTAATGAAGTGGCCAGCGCATGATACCAAGGGAGAGAAAGGTTATTTTATTAATGCTGCATATAATTGCTTTTTGAATACGAAAGAAATCTCTATGAAGCTTCTGAGTTATAGATTAGCCTTCTCATAATATTTAGACCACAATTTAAATGTGGCCCGCTCACTTGCATTCCAAAAAATATATGAAACAAAAGGCAATGAACCGGAAATGTTTTCCATTAGAAGTTTCTTGATGAAAGAGACACTCAAAAGAAGTTGCAAACATAAGAGGAGATGTGAAGAATTAATGATGTTCCTGATAGTGCCTGCATCAACCTGTGGAAAGCCCAGGATTGTTTTCAAAGAAGGGAAGGGAGCGGGAAATGTGCAATTTCTCTTGGAGTTCAGGAAAATGAGAAGAAAGTTTCAAATTCAGGACTCTCACCTTGTCACTCAGGCGAATGGGATTTTAGATGTGCTTTTTTCATCTGCTGTCTTTTTTTTTTATTTTGATACAGATCATTGAAAGACAAACATTCACAGAGCGTATCACATAGAGCAGGGGTCCCCAACCCCTAGTCCGTGGACCGGTACCGGGCCACGGCATGCCAGCAACTGGGCCGCACAAACAAGCAAAGCCTCATCCCCGGGATGCAGGCAGCACACAAACCACGCCCTGTCCGGTACGTGGAAAAACCTCTCTCTACGTAACCGGTCCCTGGTACCGAAAAGGTTGGGGACCTCTGACAAAGTGGATCAATATGTTGTTGGAACATATTGGTTAAATGATCTCATCAGCTAATTTCTAGGGCAGTAGTCTGCAAACTTTGTATTCCATGACTCTCTGAAATGATAAATGTGTTTGTGTGACCTCCCCTGCCATGACTAAAACTCATGATTTCATTGGTGTTAGAGATAGGCAAGTTTTCTTTGGGAAGGGGGAAAAAAAACCCAACAAAAAACTGACATGGATATCCTGGGTCATGTGCTGCCAGTGAATAATACCAGGAAAGGGGACATCTTGGGAGCAGGACTTTTAAGTACAAGTTTACCCTGGAAATCTGCTAGTTTTAACTATGGCAGGGCTGAGCCTTATGCTGTAGAACCTTCTCCACTGACATTGGCTTATAAATTACTTTCACCGATTGTAAATGCTGACATGAATAATCAGGGATAGATTTTTGTATGATCCCTGTTAAGTTTTTTCATGAAACCAGCCAACAGAAGCTGTGATTTTATAGGTTAGTCTGTTATATCTCACAAGCAAATCATGTTTAATCAAACCATGACTTAAGAAGAACATGCGAACCCAGTATAAGAGCAATACTTTGGATTGAGGATAAGAAATTCAAATTAGCTTGAGAATTCTCTAATCTAGAACCTAGTATGAAACTAGCAAGGTCAGGGGTCTTCAAACTTGACCCTTTTATGACTTGTGGACTTCAACTCCCAGAATTCCTCAGCCAGGCACACTGGCTGAGGAATTCTGGGAGTTGAAGTCCACAAGTTAGAAAAGGACCAGGTTTGAAGACCCCTGAGCTAGATTCATCACTGGCTAGATTCAAACTGAGTAATTGTATAAACAAGGTTGTGTCCTATAGATTATCATTAGGTCCACAACCCAGAGCATCCTTCAGACCCTCAAGTAAATCCCATTGGATTCAGATGTGCAGCCATATCGGTATTGGGCTTCCAATTCTGACCCCTCAGCCCAACACACTTTGAAGTACAGGTAGTCCTTGTCTTACAACAATTCATTCAGTGATCATTCAAAGTTACAATGGCACTGAAAAATGTTACTTATGACCATTTTTCACACTTACGACCATTGCAGCATCCCCATGGTCACATGATCAAAATTCAGATGCTTGGCAATTGACTCATATTTATAACAGCAGCTGTGTCCCAGGGTCTTGTGATCATCTTTTGTGACCTTCTGGCAAGCAAAGTCAATGGGGAAGCCTGATTCACCTAACAATGGTGTTACTAACTTAACAACTGCAGCAATTCCCTTAACAACTGTGGCAAAAAAATTTCTAAAATGAGGCGAAACTCACTTAACAAATGGGTCATTTAGCAACAGAAATTTTGGGCTCAGTTGTGGTAGTAAGTCGAGGATTCGCTGTAATCAAAATATTTTGTTTCTTTCAGTGCTGAAGCTCATTGAATGGAGTAAACCTCTAGAGTTCATAGGCAACTTTTGACTCATTTTGACCATTGCATTCACTGTATATCCATTAAATAAAGAAATACCTCTGGAGTTTCATCCAGTTCTGGAAAATAGTGGGGCAATATCAAAAAAATTTACCCAAGAATCTCTGGATGGAAAATAAGTTTTCTATCACTGAGAAAGGCTCACTTTCTTGGATATGTCCGTCCTTTTGCAAAAGTATCTAAAGGTACTTTTATTTCATTGATGAAATAAAAGAAGGACATGATTTTCGGTGGCATTTGCAGCAAGTTATGACAAAACGACAGCAAATGCACTTGGATGTCATTATACAAATTCAGGTGGGGAAATCCTGCACATTTGTCAGTTGCTTCTCCCCAGCTGCAGAGGCCCAGGATGTCCTTAAAGAACTGCAATAATTTCAAGGCTCACGTTTTCTCCATGCTTTCCAAGGAAGGCTTATGTTTTCTTTTACAGAGCAGTCAGTTTGAGTTTCAGAGGCAGTGAGCAACATGGGTCCCATGTGTAATTTCTCATTTTCTCTTGAATTTATCCTGCGCTGTTTTCTCTCAGAACTCAAAATGCCCTAAAGTTGCATGGAGTTTTGGCTCGGACTAAATCAACCTAAATGCATTGCTCTGATTGCAGGTGGTTGCCATTGACGTAGATATGGCCTTTTTTGAACCTAAAATGAGAGACATCCTCGAACAAAACTGCTCAGGAGATGAAGACTGTGTTTTTTTCGATTGCTTTTCCAAATGTGATCTGAAGAATGGAAAATGTGGGGCAGAAAGAGCCAATACTAACCTTCAAGTGAGTGGCTAAGTAGAAATATTTTTATTTAAATGGCTGCATGCCTCTGCTTTAAAATCCTAATTACTGCACTGATTAAAATGATGTATCCATGACTGGCATTTGGGCATGTTCACATACATCAGCACAATCACTAGGTGAGTGAAGTCCCAAGTAGTGACTTCAAGATATAGCTATAAATGTGCCCAGAGCCACCAGCCACAGACAGATCATGCAGTGTCATATCATGCCATACTTTTTAGGGAAAACAATTAACAGGTTCTGTTACTATTCTAATCTCTGCAATAACATCTGTCTTGTCAACATCTGATGTAGCATCCCTCCACCACAGTGCCAGTGGTAGCTAATGATGATGAACACAGAGCAAGGCATTTCATAATGAGATAACGTATAATTGGGCAAGTTGTTCTAAAGCAGCGTTTCTCAACCTTGACAGCTTTAAGATATGTGGATTTCAACTCCCAGAATTCCATGCTGGCTGAGGAATTCTAGGAGCTGTAGTCCACATATCTTAAAGTTGCCAAGGTTAAGAAACACTGTCCCAGATGTTACAATATGGAAGGAGAAGAATTTGCCACAGGAGTGATGTTAGTAGCCTTTCCACAATAACAACATATAGCTCCACTCTCAATAAGGAGTCAAACTATGTGTATGTGGTAAAGATGGGCTGCTACTACTACTACTACTACTATTACTACTACTATTTACTACTACTACTATGACTATGCAAAGTATTTGCATAGGAAAGGCAATAGCAATTTATGCCCTTAATGTTCAGTTACAAAAGAACTAGAGGACTTTATTATCACATCACTTATTCTTACTTCCAGTTCTTATACTACTGTATATATTTTCTTCTGTGAATGGATTCACTTAATAAGGAGGTGTTGCCCTGAATGGGGATGGCTCTCACTGTCTCACATTTTACAATCGATGTAAAGGTCATATATATTAATCTAATCATGTTAATAATAATAATAAATAATAATAATAATAGTAGTAGTAGTAGTAGTAGTAGTAGTAGTAGTAGTAGTAGTA